CTGTTTTTTTTATTTCAGAAGCTGTTGACTCATTGCTTTCAGCCCTGTGATTCCCAATTTGTTCTGTGTTAGTGGCCTCTGCACTTGTTACGGGTGGGGTTGGGTTCTGAGGTTGCATTTTGTTCCTTCTCGTCATTTGGTGTAGCACTGTCTTCTGCCCTTTGTTGTAGATCTTTGTTGTAGTTATAACCTTAGCACATACTAAAGTTCAGGTGTAGATCTACAAAGTTTGGATTTATCCAACTGTTCCTGGCTTGAGTCTGGCTGCTGTGCTCAGCTCCTTCCTGCTGCTGCCCTTGGGGGTGAACTTGTTGTGCCCCTCTGGCAAGTTTTTCTGCTCCTGGACTAGCTGGGTGGTTCTATCCTCTACACTCTCTGCAGGGATTGCAGGTGCACAGTTAACACCCCATGCCTGTATGCCAGGCCTGAGTTGAGCATGGAGTGGACAAGGTAGAGTAGGGGGGAGAGGCAGCTCTCCCACACACTCACTGGGTCTGGGCTAGGACTGCGTCTGTGGGTTCCCAGAATGCGGCGGAAATTCCTACTGGGTGGGCAGGGTGGGTGAGGTGCTGCAGAGTGGTAGAGGGCATCCCAAGGGGGTGGAAGAGGGTCTCACCCATGCTGCGCCTGGGCTGTGACCAGTAATAGGTCCCGCTGGTACAGGCTAGCAGGAAGCTCTCCCACACACTCACCGGGCCTGGGCTTGGACTGGGTCTCTAGATGCCCATTTTTTTATTAGGTCTTTAAATATGAAATGGGTCAGATCTCTTTCAGTTTGGTTTGTTTGTTTGTTTTGTTTTGTTTTGTTTTGTTTTGTTTTGCAGTACCAGGGATTGAACTCAGACCCTTGAGCTTGCCAGGGAAGCACTTACTCAACTGAGCTATCTCCCCAACCCCTCTTTCAGTTTTTTATATGCTCTACCTACTAATCCTTTGAGGACTAACTGGAGAAAATTTTTCCACTCTATGGGTTATCTCTTCACTCTTGGTGGTTTCTTTTTTGCTATGCAAAAGCTTTTTAATAAGATGAGATCCCAGGTGTTGTTGATTCTTTGTAATACCTCCCATGCAGTTGGAGTTTTGTTCATGAATTCTGCCTACACCTATGTCTTCAAGAGTTCTACGTAGCTTATTTTCCAGCAGATTTAGTGTTTCTGTTTTAATATTCAGATCGTTGATCCATTTTTATTTTAGTCCAGTGCATGGTAATAAGGATGGATCTAGGTTTAGTCTCCAGCATGTGGAAAGCCAGTTTTTCCATCACCATTTATTAAAGAGACTGTCTTTCTTCCAGTGAACATGTTTGGCCCATTTGTCAGACATACGGTAGCTGAATGTATTTGGATTTCTTTCTGCATCGTCTAATCTGATTTACTGAACCTCAGGTTGGTTTCTTTCTTGGTTTCTGCCAGTACCATGCTGTTTTATTACAGTAGCTCAATAATGTAATTTCATGTCAGGGATTGTGATGCTCCCTGCCTTACCTTTGTTGCCTATCATTGTTCTTTGCTATTCTAGGTGTCTTCCAGTTTCAAATGAATTTTAGGCTGTGGGAGGAACCAACTGTACACATTAGGAGCAATCTGAGACTGTCTAAGGGTACCATCACAACTTGTAGATAGACATAGAGATAGATAAATATGTTTTACGGGTTTTTTTTTTTTAGGTTGTTTAGGTCTTTCTCTTTACTCTTGTTGTAATCTATTTGTCTTATTCCTCTCCTTCCTCAACTATCTCTCTTGATTTTATGATATTTACATGTAACTGAACATTTTTTCTAGTCTTTCTGGTCTGCTTCAATAATCTCTTGCTTTCTCCTTTGGACTCTCTTACTTACTACCTTCTCCAACTTCGCAAATCCTGGGTGGAGCCAACTGTACACATTGAGAGCAATCTGTCCTCCAACTTTTCTGGTTCTATATTTCTCTTCCTTTAGCTTTCTGTTTTGTCCTCTGTCCTTCATAAATTTCTCCACCACACTAAAAATCACTGTTCTAATGGGAAACTCTTTGTATGCAAGTACCTGAATAATACATAATAATATTATCTTGATACATAAGTGTAGATCTTGCACATATGGCTAAATATTCCAAAATAATAGTTACTCCAGTTTGTCAGGTTTTAGGCTGCACTTCATACTGTTGTTATTGCTAGTTGTACTACTTTAGCCAGGATGTCATACCTGTTGTAATCAGCTGTTCTCCCTGTCTGCTCATCCTGTGATCATCAGGGGTTATAACCATCACCATAGTACAGAACCAAAGAACTGGGTGCTAAGCCAAATAGAGAGCAATTTATTAATCATCCTTAATAAATTAGGAAGGCAGAATCTTGGGACAGATGCAAAGACCAAGAACCACCTACACCTAGAAGACATCTCTGAGGAGCAGATATCTCTTAAGGAAGCCTTGATACTAGTAGTAAAGTGATCTACTATAAGAAACTTAGAAGCATCAATACATGAAACAAAATAAAATAAAAAATAGAATATGGAAAGTTTTAAATAAATTCTGTCAATTCTTTTTCAAATTGAAACTGAAAGAACAATAAAAAAAGACACTTTTAGGTTATTTCAGAAAGTGGAAGTGGTTAAAATTCAATTGTAAAATTTGGGAAATTTTAACATGGGTAAAATCTTAATTGTAAATTTTTTCAAATAGTATGCTGTTTTTGTTTGCAAGAGTGCAAGTAAGATGATCTTAACTCATCAAACTAACACAGCCGTTAGTAGCAAAGTATGATTCTGTCATGTGAAAATCCACACATTCAACTCTGAAATCTAATCTCCCAATGCTTTTTCCATTGTTTATTAGTTCTTATTAGCTAGTTCATTTAAATGTGTACTAGAAATTAACAGTGATCTCTCAAAGATCTTTCAACATAAAAGGTTTATGCTGAAGAGATAGCTCAGTAAAATAAGCACTTGCCTGACAAGCCCAAGGTCTTGAGTTCAGTCCCCAGTACCGAAGGAAAAAAAAAAAGGATTATACTGCTCTACAGGGTGTAAGGGTGATAAAAATAAATAAATAAATAAATCAGATTTATGATTATATATGTGTCCATTGATACCTGAGCTTTCTAACTTCTTTCCTACTTCCACTCATTTGTGAAAAAGAATGTTTTTCTTTAAAACTAGACATTTTGGGAAACAGAAGCTCAAGTTATATTTCATTCAGCCTGAGTTCTTTATGTATTAAACTTTTGAACATACGTATTTCTATATAATACTTACTTAGCATTACCTCATTGAAATCTTACTACTCTCTGAGAAATGAAAATGTTGAAGTTGGACCAAAACAAAAAAGTTGGGTGTGGTGAAATTATTTAAAGTAACTACTTTATTCTGACTCCATTTACCCTATATTTTTCTAAGCCACTATTCTACCCATTCCCAAAATGTGAGTTTGCATTGGATTTGGTGAATTTCTTACTATGACAATTGTGTTCCTAAGCAGTTATTCACATATAAAGTAAATTGACTTACCTTTTTTTTTTTAAAATATATTTAAAGCAAATATCCATGCCAAATTAGTATTCCTCCTCTTTTTCTTTTCAGGCCTGTATGTGGAATTAGAGGGAAAACTCTCATTATTAACCTACCAGGTAGCAAGAAAGGATCTCAGGTAAGCATCCTTGACATTTATATGGTTTAATATAAGTACATTTAACCAGTTGTTTCTATCCAAAAAGTTGGAGCACTACACGAATGCTCTTACTTCAGACACTAATTTCAGGTTCAAATAATTCCTAAAATCACCCTCAGATTCAATAATTTACTAGAACTGTCAGAACTTACTAAAAGTTGTCATCTTACTGTTTATTATAGGGAAAGGACACAAATTTATATGATTCAAGGAAAGATATGCATAAGACAGAGTCCAAGAAAAATGCCAAATCTGGACCTTTTGTTGTCCTCTCCCTCCCCATTAAATCAGAAATACTGCATTATACTGGTATTATTATGTGATAGGACACATAGAATATTACCAATCAGAACAACTCACCTTAGCTGTTATTCTTCTGGGGGTTTTTATAGCATTTGTCACATACTCTCTCTGTGGCTGACCTTTAGTTATTAGCTGTACCCAGAGGTTGAACTCATACTTTTAGTCTTTAATACCTTGCAGTGGCAAAACTAATACCCATGTGGCCCAAAGACTGCATCATAAATCACATAGTTAGATTATCTGATGGCCAAAGATCCCAGACAAACAAATATATTCCTCTGGGGCATGAAATTCTGCAAATCAAGGCATTACCTATCTGTAGTTGACAAAGATCAGGCATGCTGAGTAATGTTAATTGATACAGTAGCTACTCTTGGCTTTTGACCAAGGCTTTCTTACAGCAAAAAACTAACACTACCCAGAGTGTCTGTGCATCTATATTACTATAGCATAAGTGACAGATACAGCAATGCTCTCTGTGAATATGTGTAGTTTGAAAGGAAGCTATGAAAAGTATGGTTAGCTAGTCCACCTTAATCTACTGCTATTTGTACCATATGATATATGCATGAAAAACTAGATAACACAGAAATTAGCTGTTCTTCATTAAACCAATCATTTTTATTACCTCCTAGGCAGATTTCAACTCAATTGCCCATACATTTGACCATCACCAATATCAGTGCTAACATTATTAACAATGCTAGTTTTACAACATATTATCCTGTGGAAATGAAGTAACAAGGGCGGCAACTTAGCGCCTCCTCATTCAACTTTGTAGTCTTCTCAAGTTCCAAAAACAAGAGTGGTCTCGGCAACATACAACTTCATCTTTTCAAGCAACTTATAAGTATACCAAGAAGCATTGTCTCTTGTTCTGGGCCTCTTAGATACCAATAGAATTTTCTGTTTCCCTCATTGCATAGCCTAGTTGTTCCTTTTCTCCATTTATACTAAAACTATCCCATCTCAGAAAGGATTTAAGGCTCAGTGCTGTGACGATTCAGACGGCCTAATATGAATTTAGGAAGTACCTCCCACTTATTCTATTCCTGTCCATATAGGGCAAGATTAAAAGGAAAGAACTAGTGAGCTATCTTAACCTACTAGATAGTTTAACTGCCTTCACTGTCAACTCTTTAGCCAGATGTGGTAAAAACAAAATCAGGCTCAAAATCAGCAAAATTCCTTCAGGAATTCTGACATAAAAGTTTAAAGACATTCATGTTTTTGTTGCTTAGGAATCATCACTTATTCTATGCCCACAGTTGTATCACTGATCCTAGGACCACTGTTTTACATAGAGAAAATGAAAGCTCTGAGGTGACATGAAAAAAATAATACACTCCTAAACAAAACATTATCGTTGTATTAGCATCCTTCCTCTCAACCTCATGTTTCCCACAAAAACAAAGCAATCCATGTAATAGATTGCTGAGATCTGAGCAAAAAAAAACGTGCATAGGTAAGAATCTGAGAAGGTACCAAATAAGGAGCTTACATTTTCTCTTCTGTGGAATCATAGACATGTTACCTTCCTGGCATTGATGTATACTCCCACGAGTATTGTCAGCTAGGAATGCTAGCCTGACCCTTTGATATCCAGAATTTTTAGTATCTAAGGTTGCTTAAATTCTTGGCACAAAAAAAACTTTTTTATCTGGCACTACATTGTAGAATAACTTTTAAGGAACTGACAGTAAAATCCATACCTCTCTGTCTCAATATTAAAATCTTTATCTGAGAAAGTAAAATCTGTAGAGTGTTAGATACTGGGAAAAGGGAATGAACCTGTTCAAAAGGAAAGAATTACTGAGTTGAGAAGGACAGTAGAGAGAGTAGGGGAAGGAGATATATTGATGTATGTAAGCAGGATGGTTTGGACAACTTTACAGTGGATTTCTGCTTGTCTATGGAAAGGAGCAGTTAATCCTTAATTTGTTTTTGTCTTCTTTTTTCAATTCTTTTTCCTTTTTTTTCTATTATTTCTTTTTTTCTTCTTCTAGTCTTGCATGTATATATCTGGTAATATGAACAACTAATTTGAAGACAACACTATGCAATACAACAAATACTGTGACATTCGTATTTCCTTTAGTGAATACTTACCTGTCAGGGGAGATATCATGATCACATATTTTGTTTAGTGAAATTCTGTATCATTTGTAATTTTTCTATTTTAATACTACTTTGTACTCTTTAAAAAATAAAAAACAAAATCTTTACCTGAACAAAATTGGAATGATAAATTGAACCATAAAAGATAGATCACAAGGTTAGATATCCTTCAGGTATTCCAGTAACTCTGGAAAGATTGAAATGTGTTTGTTTGTTTGTTTGTTTGTTTTTCTTTTTTCTTTTTCTTTTTCTTTTTCTTTTTCTTTTCTTTTTATTTTTCTCTCTTTGAGACAGGGTCTCACTGTGAAGTTCAGGCTGGCCTTGAGCTCTCTTTGTAGCCCAGGCTGGTTTCCAATTCAAGACAATCCTTCCTCAGCTTCAAGTGCTGGGATTATAGGCATGCACCACCATGCTCAGCTTCTTTTAAGAAATCTTTTACATCTTAGTTTTTTTATTAAGTTGTTACTTTAAATGCAAAAGACTTTACCTTATTCTTCAAACATCTGGCTCTAGGTTCTGGTTATAAGTTCTTTCCTATTCTTTTTTGACAATACATTGTAGGTAACATAGGTATTTGAGCCACAGGTTATATTGACTTTTGTGTGGAGTTCATTATACGTTTGTTTCTGTTCTTACATATTATGTTAGGTGTACTCCAAAAATAGAGTAAAAGTTTACATTTTTAAAAATTTATTTATAGTAAAAGATACATTGCCTTTAATCCCACTCAGAATATTTCCTCTTAGTTCAAACACACTTATCCCATAATTCTTGCCACTTTCTGAACCAGTTCTGGAAGTTCTTTTTGATGAACATCTTTAGTTGCATTGGTAGGACTGCCTTGATGTCCTGAATCAATTCAAAATGTTTACCTTTAATGCTCATTTTGACTTTGAAGAAGAGCCAGAAGTTGCACAGTGCCAGATCTAGTGAATAAGGTACTTGAGGACAAACTGTTACATTTTTAAAAACCTACCTTTCCATTGGGTAGCACAGGACAGTAACATTGACCTTATTTTTTATCACATCATGAAAGAAATGAAATAAGACTCACAAAACAGTTTCAGAAATTAACAGGAAAAATGGTATAAGTGTGTTTGAAGTGAGGGAGATTGTTTTGAGGGTGATTAGCAATGTGTCTTTTGCTGTAATCATTGTTAACTTGAACATTGACTATATATTTCAACCACCCCTCATATAATGTTGTCTAGCTACATATTATGGTGATATTAGAAATTCAACTTTGAATAGAATAACCCAAACTCCATGTGGTTTGTTAGTTTTATAAAGTCTTGCTCTAATTAAAAATGTGAAAATTCTTTCCTGTCTTTCCAACGATTCTTATAATGTCTTTAAACTATGTTAAAATTTAACTTATAAATACAATGTGTGCCTTATTTGTACTGTGTTTGCTAGTTGACAGAGAGTATTATGTATCATGCTTCATATTTCACATTCAATGACAATTCTTTAAATACGCTTCATTCTTGAGATTGAGAGAGGGAAATGCAGATCCAAAATCAAGAATCACTTTAATTGTAATCATTTGTAAGTCTAGAAGAAGACTTCATTTTCTTCTTTGCTTTTTTTCTTCCTTTTATGGACAGGAATGCTTTCAGTTCATACTGCCAGCTCTACCTCATGCCATTGATCTTTTACGTGATGCCATTGTAAAAGTAAAGGAGGTGCACGATGAACTTGAAGATTTACCTTCCCCGCCACCTCCACTTTCCCCTCCTCCCACAACCAGCCCCCATAAACAGACAGAAGACAAAGGGGTTCAGTGTGAAGAAGAGGAAGAGGAAAAGAAAGATAGTGGTGTTGCTTCAACAGAAGATAGTTCATCCTCACATATAACTGCAGCAGCCATTGCTGCCAAGGTAAGCCTGCTGAGACTGAGCTATGAAGGACACACAGATGAATGTATTGATTGCATTCCTATTTACATCCCATCTTTGAAATTCCATACCTCTTTAGGACATCCTTTAAAAAGTACAAATAAATTGAGCAACCCAGTATACTCTCTACTACTACATTTTCTTCCTGATACAAATTCCTTGAAGGTACTGAAATTTGTTCTGTTGCTCTGTGGCATTACAAATACTATTGCTACTGTGAAAGTGATAGCTACAGTAACAAACAATGTGGCATTCAAGAGCTGTTTGAAGCTGTCATTTTTGATAGCATTTTAAAGTGTTTATATATTCAGAACATTAAAACTTCACAAAATTTTAAAGAAGTAAAATGCTGAAATTAAAGGACTTTAGATGACTATATAAATGAGTTGGAAAAAACTAAAATTTTTTAAGATATAGCTTATAAGCAGTTCTTGAATTCTCCTTAACTGAGCATTTATTCAAATATTACATGATAGATTACCCTTAGTGCTATAGAGAAATGTATATTTGCATTATAAATTAATAAAGTAATAAATATTATTAGGATAATACCAAAGTATTATAAATTCTCTCTACATGGTTGTGGGGATATAGTACCATGAGTTAATTGAGTAAATGTAATCATCTTAAAGTTACAGAATGTGTTTTATATTATTAGCCATACCTAGTAAAAACCACCTAGGCTATTTTAATTTTCTAGAAAGGTATTAATTCTAAGAATTCTAATTGTCCACTGATTGAAAGCATATAGGTTAAAAATTTAATTCTATATAAGTAATTTGTAGCATTTTATAGACCATTCATATTTTGTCTATGAATATAGTAAAGATTTCATTGAGAACATATAAATTACAGTCATTGAGAAATAAACTTCAAGTACCCATTCATGCAGCCAGTAAATGGTGCCTTTACTGAAGACTGGATAATTTCATTTCTCCGGATCATCCATTGACTCATTAAGTCCTTACTTGATACTAATAGGTATTTGAGCTGTACATAATTTTAATAGAACTAATTGGTGAAATAAGTTCATTTTAAAATCATTCATGTTTCTTCTTTTTCTCTTAAGTAAAAGAGTAAAATGTCATCATTTTAAGTCTTACGGAAAAAGCCTACAGCATTTAAAGTTACACTGATTTTATCATTCTACATGTAGAAAATTTTGGTATGCCATTATTTCATGTTTTCATCTGTTTTCCTTTTAGTCATTTTGTTTATATGATGTTGTTTTCATGTCACTGTATTCATAATTGTTATGTGTTGTGCATTAGAAGCATCCATCCTACACCAGTATTGCTGTTATCATGGCACATGGTGAGCAGCCCATCCCTGGTCTCATCAATTATTCCCATCATGCAACAGGCAGTGCAGATGAACCGGTAAGACAAGAGGCTTTTGCATTAAAGCCTCTCCAACTATCCAACCTACTTCCTATCTATGAAGATGGGTTAAAACATTCATATAATAAAAAGCGTGTAACTTTATTCTTTTGGATCTTTAGTGGTGCTTTCTTATGAAAGTGCCCTTGAACATAGTCCTTCTAGGAATTTAATAGCTTCTCTTATGCCTAAATAACTCTCCTATTGTCAAGATTCTATAGTTTGTGACAATAAGCTTTTTTCATAAGACTTTTAAGAAATTTAATGCTCCAGGAGCTTGGCAGTTTCGTTGGTTATCCTTAAATAAATTGCATGATTTTAAATAATCCCTTAAAATCACTTTGAGTCTTAAAATCCGGACAGATCGCCAAGCTAGTATGTAATTTCTATTAACTTCAGTTTTTTTAAGTTCTCATGACTTTCATCTCATTTTTTTATTTCCTTCACTATGTGCTCTTTACAAACATTTTCAAAATTGACTTCATCCAAGAAAATAATAAATTGATAGGTACAATTCATTAAGAAGTAATAATTAAGACTATGACTTTCAAAAATGAATCAATCTCAATGCATGCTGTGGATCTAAAATGTAAAGAAGCAATAACAAATAAATACCCAAAATATGGAAGGAAAAACCCAGCAACTTTGTATCAGTGTTCTCTTAGGAGCATACTAGAAAATGAAGACTTCAACCATTAAGTTGACATTCATACCTAATTAAATTTAAAAAAAAAAAAAAACTTGACTTAGTCACAGGCCAAGTAAAAATTTAAATCTTGTGTAGTAAAAAAATATTAAGTTGACAACTAGTATGTGAATTTTCCATATAGAGGTTTGTTACACATACTCTAATATGTACCAAATTCAGGGTGTTTTTATTGTCTCATTGCACAAAGTATCCATAGCTACTTTAACTGTTACGGATTATCAATTCTAAAGTAACTTTAGGGTTCTATATTCATAACTGACATTAGGTTACCACATTGAGTTTCACATTAGTATACCAAAATTATTTGAGGTATTTTTTTCTTCAGTTCTCCCAGTTATTTAATATAACTGGTATTACTGGAGATGCTTAAGTAAGAAGTTAGTTATTATATGTAATGGATACCTTCAGTTACTAGAGCTTAATGCTTTGGAGGAACAACTTGAGAAGGGCTGTTAAACTATTATAGCTATATGCCCTCCAGTGGGTGGAGTATAGTTCAGTGTGAGAGTGCTAGCCTACTTGGTAAAGTGTAAGGCGCACTGGGCTCAAGTCTAAGCACTGCAAAAACAAAAAACAGCAAACAAAGCTCAGCTTCCCTGCAAAACAAACATATGCTCTCAAACAGCTTCACCCAGGAACTTCTCATTTATTCAGTGATATTTAGTACTTTATTAGTGATAATACTGGTCATTTTAATAGTTGCTTAGTTTTGTAAGTAGTTTCATATTTTTATACTTCCTTTGATAAATGAAATAGGAGCTGTACATTAAAGAATATGAATTGCATGGTCTTTTTACCTGCATCCATTCCAAAGAATAAAAGAAATTTGCAAGCGAAAATAAAAAAGTGTTTTCATATTAGTGTTTATTTTTAAATAAATACAAATATGAATATTGTTACAGCGCATAAAGAATTTAAGATCTTTCTACAGTTACTTTTTATTACTTCTTTACTTTCCTAATTCAATTTACTACTGATAATCAAGAAAGTCGATGAATGTACTGACTTTTTAATAGTTGCCTGTAATATCATTATTTCTTATTGCAGAACTCATCAACTTGCTATTTCAAGAAATAAAAAGACATGGAGAATGCTTCTTGTAATGCTCATTTGTTAGCTGCCCCTCTAGCAACCAAGTCCCATTTGTGCTTCTAATACTATACTTCATTTCCCAGTTATGTAGTTTGAGTACATTGGCTTAATATAATCAGTGTATTCATTTCACCCCAGCTAATGCTATTAGTTCAAAGAGCACATAATTCAACCAGTCAGAGACAGTGTGTATCATGTCTTAGATTTTTTTGCTTTTAAGTACTAGGGATTCTTTCTTGCTAAATATGAATGAAAAAGTATACAGCCCCAAGAACTCCCATCTTAGAACCATTAAAAAGAATTTATTCCATAAAGGTACCAACAATAAAAAAACAATCCTGAGAAATGAAAGGTAGAGATAATAGTTCCTGATCATATGGTTTGAATCACTTACTAGAGCCTCAGTTCAATTATATCCACCTCTTAACCTTTCAGTTATATGAGCTAATGCAACCAGGGATAGAGTTAGTATGTGCTGTTGTTTATATCAAGAAAGTATTTTCACTAAGGTGTACTATCTTATCAAAGAGATGAAAATTGTTCTTAAAACTTAATAGTCTAATAATTGAAACACGAGATAACAAAAAATGACATATTTTTGTTAATTTTTATACAATACTATAACCAGAAAGATAAAAATAACAATTGTGTCAAATTTATTCAGTACAAGAATCAACTGCAGGGACCAGGGGTTCAATCTCTGGCATGCCATGTTGGCCTGCTCGCAGGGCGTGCTGAGGACAAGGATTGAGACTGGTATGGTGGCATATGCCTATAATCCCAGTGCTTGGGAGGCTGAAAACAGGAGGATCACAATGAGTCAGATCTCTGTAGTGAGACCCCGTAGTCCTTGTACTAAATACATTAATTAGAAAAAGAAAAAGAATCAACTGGTTGAAATGAAACCTGCCCAAGCAACGCTTGGGATAGTTAGTATGTAAACAAATGTGTTGCCCAAGTGACACTCAGAGTAAACTGTTAGGTGGTTAAATAATGACAAAAATACATCAAAAAGAATTTCCTAAAGTTTCAAATTTAGATGAGAAAGCTAGGAGTATAGGTAGGGAGATGTGACATAAAGGAACAGAAAGGGAAAAGCTCTTGGCTCTCTATATTTAGAAAATAATCATGCAGATCTTTTCAAGAAAACTGGATACAAACCTGAAGATAACTGCTAATGCTTTACAGTATGAAGACAACTGATAGGTTCAAAAATCTAAATCATAGGGCCAGCCAAATCGCTCAGCAGATTAAAGTACCTTCTTAGGCAGACAGAGGGGCTAGGAGTTTAACCCCCAGGCCTGCCATGGGGGCCCCTTCCCCAGGGCACGCTGAGACTGCAGTTAAGACTGGGCGTGGTGGTATGTGCCTATAATCCCAGCACTTGGAAAGCTGTAAACAGGAGGATCACTATGAGTCCGATCTTCGCAGTGAGATCCTGTACACCCTGTCGTAAATTTAAAAAAAAAAAATCTCAATCATAATGTTAGGCAAAGATAAATTTAAGACAAAGAAGTAAGGAACCTTTGGGGAGACATAATAGAAAATCTAGCTCACTAACAGAAAATAAATTTTCTAGATAAAGTAAATGAAACTCTTGAATACATAAGTGTTGGCAAAGACTTTAAGATCAAAACTGGTATCATATCTACATCTTGTGCTATGAATGACTACTACAAAGACAACAATATGCAATGT